ACTTGCTACCTACACCCCTGCCCCATCTACCTGGTGACCACGGGTGCCCCTCTACCTCAATTTTTAAAAAATTGAGGTAAAATTCACATAATAAAATTAATCATTTTCAAGTGTATAATTCTGTGGCATTTAGTATATTCACAACATTGTGCAACCACCATCTCTATCTGGTTCCAGAACATTTTCAACACCCTGAGGGAACCTTGACCATGGGACCTTTTAAGAACTATACATCAGCCCTGGCTGGTTTGGCTCAGTGGATAGAGTGTTTGTTGGCCTGCGGACTGAAGGGTCCCAGGTTTGATTCCAGTCGAGGGAACATGCCCGGGTTATGGGCTCGATCCCCAGTGGGGATCATGCAGGAGGCAGCCGATCAATGATTCTCTCATCATTGATGTTTCTATCTCTCTCTCCCTCTCCCTTCCTCTCTGAAATCAATAAAAATATATTTAAAAATAAAATAAAATAAAAACCATACATCAGATCAAGATTCTCCCTGCTTCAAGCCCTGTCAGAGCCCCCCATGTTCTCAAGATAAAGACCCACCTCCTCATGCTATGCGAAACCGTCTGGCAGTTCCTCAAAAAGTTAAACATAGAATTCACACATGACCCAGCAATTCCACTCCTAGGTATGTGCCCCAAAGAAGTGAAAGCAGGGACTCGGATACTGGTACACACATGTTCACAGCGGCACCAGTCATAATTGCCAAAAGGAGCAACCCAAGTGTCCATCATCAGATGAATACATACACAAAATGTGGTCCGAGCAAACAAATACAGTGAAAAAAGGAGTGAAGCCCTGACACACACGATAATGTGGATAAGATTTGAAAACATGATGCTCAGTGAGAGAAGCCAGACGTGGCCAGGTAGCTCAGTTGATTAGAGTGTCGTTCCGATACACCAAGATTTCAGGTTCAATCCCCAGTCAGGGCACATACAAGAAGCAACCAATGAATGCACAGATAAGTGGAACAACAAATCAATGTTTCTCTCTCTCTCTCTCTCTCTCTCTCTCTATTTCTCTTTCTCAAAATGAGTGAAAAAGAAAAAAGGGTGATCTAAGAAAGAAGCCAGACCTAAAAGGACACATATTGTATGATTCCATTTATATGAAATATCCAGAACAGGCAAATACATATAGACAGGAAGTGGATTTTTGGTTGCCAGGGGCTGGGGGAGGGGAGATGGGGAGTTACTGCTAATGGGGACGAGTTTGTTTGGTGTGATGAAAGAGTTCTGGCAACAGACAGTGGTGATGGTTGTACAACTTTGTGGATCCTAATTAATGGCAATGAACTGAACACTTAAAAATTATTAAAATTAGTCCTGGCTGGTGCGTTCAGTGGTTAGAGCGTCTGTCTGCACACCTAAGGGTCAAGGGCACGTACCTGGGTTACACGTTCAATTCCTGGCAACCAATGGATGTGTCTCTCTCACATCCAGGTTTCTTTCTTTCTTTCTTTCTTTCTCTTTCTTCCTTTCTTCTCTCTCCTCCCTTCGCTGTTTCTTTCCACTCTGTCTAAAAATCAATGGAAAAATATCCTTGAGCCTGGCCAGTGTGGCTCAGTGGTTGAGCATTGGCCCATGAACCAGGAGGTCACAGTTTGATTCCCGGTCAGGGCACATGCCCGGGTGGCAGGCTCAATCCCCAATAGGGGGCATGCAGGAGATAGCCGATCAATGATTCTCTCTCATCATTGATATTTTTCTCTCTCTCCCTTCCTCACTCTGAAATCAATAAAAACATACCAAAAAAAATCCTCAAGTGAGGATTAACAAAAAAAGTATTAAAATGGTAAATTTTGTTATGTGTATTTTACCATAATTGAAAAAGAATCCACCTCTTCTCCTCTACCCCAAAAACTGGCCCTGTCCCCCCTCTGACCACACCCAAACTCCATCAAGACCTTCAACCCGCCGGCCTCTATCCATTCCTCAAACAGGACAAGCTTAGTCCTGCTCTGGGCCGTGGCACTAGCTGTTTCCTCTGCTTGTTCTCTGCCTGCACCATTCTTTTCCCTGAGTCTTCAGCTCTCTGTTGCCTCCTCAGGGAAGCCATCATGGACTTCCAGGCTGAGGTCACCTTTTGTTCAACCGATTATCTAACAGTGAGTGACCCATATTGGAACAGACTATCAGGGAGCAAGACAGGAGGCAGGGGCATGAGGGAAGATGGCACAGCAGCCTCCCAGCCAGAGGAGGGGTGACTCAAGTCGCACTGGCGTCACCCGCAGGGCAGGCAGAACAGTGCCCATTCTAGAGACAGAGAGACAGAGTCCCTAAGAGTTTGAGTGGTCTGCCCAGGGGAGCCCCACAGTGGACAGTGCCAGAGTCTGAGGCAAGATGCTGGTTCCCTGAGCACCCCCTTCCTGCTCCACGTCTCCGCAGCAATATGAGAACTGGAGAGAGAACCAGCCAGACAATTTCTTCGCGGGCGGGGAGGATTGTGTGGTGATGGTGGCACATGAAAGTGGGCGCTGGAACGACGTCCCCTGCAACTACAACCTCCCCTATGTCTGTAAGAAGGGCACAGGTACGCTGCCCCCTGCCCCCTTTCCCTCCTGTGGCTCACGTTCATGCGTTCATGAGTTTTTTAAGTGTGTAAATGTAAGAGTCAGCCAATTTTCTATCTCCAGCACTGTATGAGAGGGCCCATTTTTCCCATCCTTGACAACTTGATGCATTCTCAAACTTTCTATTTTTTGTTCATCTAAGTCAGTGGTTCTCAACCTTCCTAATGCCGCAACCCTTTAATACAGTTCCTCATGTTGTGGTGATCGTGAAAGGGTCATTGGACCCCCAAAGGGGTCGCGACCCACAGGTTGAGAACCGCTGATAAGTGATGAAAAAAATAGTATCTCAATGTTATTGTAGTTCTCACATCTTCAAGGTTGAGAATGACTAGCTGTCCATATGTTGATAGGCTATTTATCTGTATTTATTTGCCTGTAACCTGCCAGGTCATCTCCTCTGCCTAATTTTCTATTTGCCTGTTGGTCTTACTGATTTGCAAGCGTTCTTTACATATTTACATGCATTCTTGTGACCAACTTTCTCTTATACTTTTGTTCATTCTTGCTTCCATTTCTTTGCCAATTATCATATCCTTACTTCCTTGCATTTGCTCAAATTATTCTTACCTCCCATCTCCTTCGTCCCTGTCATGCATAAGAATTAGGGGGTGGGGGTGTCCAGGAGATTCCTGCCTGGAAGGGGCTCCAGGTGTGGGTGGAAGAGACAGACACAATCACTTCTCGCCCTGGGAGGTCACAGCTGGGCAAAGGGCAGAACCTGCATAGGTGTGTCATTCCTAACAAGAGAGGAAACCATTCATCCCATTATGGCCACTCTCCTAACTGGAGGTTCCTCCGTCCCCAGTGCTGTGTGGTCCCCCTCCAGCAGTGGAGAACGCTTCGCCCATCGGGGCCCGCAAGGCCAAGTATAATGTCCATGCCACTGTACGCTACCGGTGTGACGAAGGATTTACCCAGCACCACGTGTCCATAATCCGGTGCCAGAGTAATGGCAAGTGGGACTGGCCCCAAATCGTCTGCACCAAACGTAGGTGGCTCCCCCACCCCCCACCCCCGACCACCCAACACGTTTCTAGCTGTCTGTAGTCTCCAGTTGAAACATCTGATGACTATATGCATTGATTTGAGTCAATGTCTGCCTGATAACAGCCTTGCAGATAAAGATCAGCTTGCCTGGTGTCTCCTCCATTTCCCTTCCCCCTGAGGAGGGCCGCTACATCAGGCCACTGCTTCTCACCACCTTTTGCTACTTCCCTGTCTTCCTTCATTTCCCTGCAGCCAGAAGGTCCCATCGGATGCGGCGACACCATCACCACCACCAACATCACCACCAACGCCACCACCACAAATCACACAAGGAACGCAGAAAACACAAGAAGCATCCGGCAGAGGACTGGGAGAAGGAGGAGGGGAATTTCTGCTGAAGAACCAGGCAAACGAAAGCACAACCCCCTTCTCACGCCTCCTCTGGGCCTTCGCCTGGGAAGATAGAGCCTAGAGAGAAACGAGAGGGCCCTAACCCGGAAGCCCCTGAGCCCCAAGCCCCCTCCCCAGCCTTTTGTAAAAAGCTCCTCTCTCCTCTTTCTTACATACACAGGTCCTCTTGGCAGGCGTGGCTATGCGTCTGAAAATCCAGTTCTAGTCAGGCTGGACTCTGGGAGAATCTCAGTGGAAGGAAGCACAATTGGCAAAGATCACTCTTTGCTGCACTGGTTGAGTCTTTTGTTGGCAAGGCTCATTGGCAGTTGTTGAGATAAGGCTTTGATGAGGGTGCAAGAGTGTATGTTTGGATCTGCACTAAGGAATTGCTTTCCATGCCAGATCCAGGCTTTGTAAATTGTCGGATGTCCTAAATGCAGCCTGAAGCCTTTAGTGACTGCTTTGGGAATGAAAAACTACATGGAAGCACACTACTTGAACTTGACAACTGCTCTTCCATGACCTTGGACTTGAACCCAAGTTCAGTCTTTGGTCTTGGTGGGTAAACAGTCTTGAACTCCTATGTACTGAATGTTGGGGATTTTTTAGAACAGCTTCCTTCCATACCCTCAGAGTTAGGGGTCAGAATAGTCAGGGCAATATGTGGGCAATGAAGGGAAGGTATTGCTTATTCTCCCAGGTCTTGTCCCAGAGCTGAGATTTGGTGGTGAAACACACACACACACACACACACACACACACACACACACATTTAGGGCTTGACTAGCCCAGATTTCTTCCCCCTCCATCTCTCAGGGAGACGAAGAACCTCCTTCCTGGACCAAGGAGGTGCCCAGTTTTCTAGATCAGTTCCCGTACCCATCCCTCAAGCAGACATTGCTAGCGCACTGCCCTGGATCCCACTCCTATTGCCACCCCATCCCTGTGTCCAGTCATTGCTGGAAGACTAGAAATGCTTACAGATTGAAATAGTGACATCTACCTGCAGTCATGTTGTAGAGGGATATAGTGTTAAAACTGAAACACACACATTTTCCTCTCATAGTTTTTTTTTATATAATACTTTTATTGATTTCAGAGAGGAAGGGAGGAGAGAGATAGAAACATCAATGATGAGAGAGAATCATTAATTGGCTGCCTTCTGCACGCCCCCTACTGGGAATTGAGCTGCAACCAGGCATGTGCCCTTGACCAGAATCGAACCCAGGACCCTTCAGTCCGTAGGCCGATGCTCTATCCACTGAGCCAAACTGGCTAAGCCATAATTGTTTTTTTAAAGTGGGAAAGAACGCAGCTGGCCTTCCTCCCCCAAATCTGCAACCTATGAAAGGACTTTCCAAGCTGAAGGCCGAGACCAGCTCCCTGATCTCTAGGAGGAAAGATCCACAGCTTTTCCTCCATGTTTTGTCGACTCAAAGTCCCTTCAGTCTGGTAAAAATCTGTGGATTAGTATTAAAAACCACAGTGGAGACTGACTCTCTAGGAAAGAAAAATAAGCAAAGATATGGTCCATCTAAGGGTTCAGTAGAGAAAGGAATGTGTTGGCTGAGCCTATATCCCTCCTGGGAAGTAATAATTATAGTTGACAACTTTGGAGTTGGTACCATGCTCATAACTGACTATTTCCTAGAATCTTCTCAACAGCCCATGGACGTAGGAACCATCAGGCTCAGATAAGAGAAAGGCTGTGACTGGCTTCAAGTCACAGTCAAGACAGAAGTAAGGATTTGGCTCTGCTTCTGTCTGACTCCAAACACTGCTCTCTGCATTGAGGAAGGAATTGAGACATAACTGCGCTCCCTCTCACACACACAGGCAGATTTAGAAAAAGATTGAGAAGCGCAAACTAGGCCCTCATCCTTGACCATGGTCTTCAGTCTTCCCTGCTGTAGACATTATCCACTGCCCCACCATCTGGTTATCACTGAGAAAGCCCAGGGATATAGGTTTGGCTTCTTGCTTTGATAATTCTTGGTTTTAAAAAACTAGAATAATAATTAACACATCTTCAGTCATCCATGTCACAAAAGAATTTTCCTTTGTTGGGGGCCTGGAGATGCAACCCTTTGGGGAGTGTCTTCGTTTATGCTCCCTGCCTTGGCCCCCTCAGCCCCTTGCCCTGCCCCCACCCCAGCTCCATGGTGGGAGAGGACTATGGTATTTTCTAAAGTGGGTGGTTTGTCTTTTGGTCTTTCCCTTTGGGGTTTGTGTGGGCCACATGTGCGGCATGTGTGTGTGCGTGTGAGCAGCTTTGGGTTCCACTGGTTTTGCTGTGAGCTGCAGTGTTCTGTGGGTCTGTGGTATCTGACACTGTGGACATTAATGTACTTCTTGGACATTTTAATAAAAATTTTTAACAGTTCAACATGCCTGTTGCCTCCTGACACTTTCTTCATTCATTCACTCAGCAGGTACTTACTGAGAAGCTGTTATGAGCTGTGTACTGTGCTTGGTGCTGGGGAGATAGTGGTGAATAAGACAGACATGGTACTTGGGAGGTGGTCAGGGAAGGCTTCCTAGAGGAGGCAGATGGGATCTAAAGAAGTTGCATTAATTAGATGATGAGGGGAAGAAAGGAAAGGAGTTTCAGACAGAGGGAACAAAGGCAAAAATCGTCTTGCAAAAGGGAACATGGTCATTTGAGAAACAGCAAGGAGACCATAGTGACTGGAGCAGAGTGATAGAGGTAGAGAGTGGAGGGAGATGAGGACAGAGAGGCAAAAGATGGACTATTTAGGGCTATATGGACTGTAGTGAGGAGTTGGGGCTTTATTCTAAAAGCTGCGGTGGCAACAAATACCATAAGCAAGGTCAAAAAGCAAATGCCAAACTTAGAGACAATTTTCAAACAGAGGGGAAGGACTTCTTACCTTAATATATAAAGAGCTCCCACAAATCAATAGAAAAAAGAAAACCTAATAATCCAATAGCTGAATGTGCAACGGTTATGAACAAAACATTCACAGAAAAGGAAATACAGATGCCTCTTAAGCTACAATATGTCCTAAACCAAATAACACACTTTTTGCATGAACACCAAGATAACAAAGAAGAGCATTTTTTCAAAAAAAGGGAATAAAAATCTACCAAGAGAAGAAGCTTTGCATAGATCAATAATGACCATATACTTAAGTTGACAATGGTTTATGATTCACTCAACCATCTGCACCGAAGGTCAAAGTGGAGGATGTTCCGCTTCACACATAAGAGAATGTCAAGTGACAACTACCGTGAGAGTCCATGTTCACTGATCATGCTGGCCAAGGTAAACATGATAACACGATGCTGGTGAGAATGTGTGGAAACAGCAAGTATGTCTGATGGAATATAAGTTGGCCTTACCTCTAAGAAGGGGTGGAGGTCACTATCAAAATGGCAAGTTTTGATCCCTTGATCGACCAACTGATAGCATCCTTCTGTTGTACTTGTGTGAGATGACGTGGGTGCTTATGACTCACAGCAAAATATGGGAAACTGAGTGCCCACCGTTAGGAGACTGGCTACGGCAAGTATGGTGCATCCGAACAACGCAAACTCTGCCGACCTTCAAAAAACGTTTTGGGGGAATCTTTCCATGTTGATGGAAACTATCTCAAAAATACATTGTTAAGTGAAATAAGAGTTACTTTTAAACTATGTATGGTACACAAATGTTCATAATAGTGTTATCCACGGTCATCAAAATGTCCACCAACTGATAAATGAATTTTAAAAATGTGGTATACCCATACCATGGAATATTATGCAGCATAAAATGAATGAAGCACTGACACAAGCTACAACTCGATGAACCTCGGAGACATTATGCTGAGTGAAAGAAGCCAGACACAAAAGGACGTATATTGTACGATTCCATTTATATGAAATATCAAGAATAGGCAAACCCATAGATGCAGAAGGTAGATTAGCATTTGCCAGGGCAGTGGGGGGAGGAAAGAATGGGGAGCAGTTGCTTAAAGGGGGGGTTTCTTTTGGGGTGAGGAAAATGTCTTGGAACTAGATGGTTGTACAATATTATAAATATGCAAAATGCCACTGAATGGAGCGCTTTAAGACATTGACAATGGTGAATTTTATGTTATATAAATTTTACAATATAAGAAAGTATATGCTACCACCAATTGTGTAAAAGTGGGGAAAAGAAACATATGTATGTTTGCTTGACTGAACATAAAACATCTCTGGAGGGACAGGTAAGAAACTTTGGGAAGTAAACTGGGCAGTAAAGGATGGGGAGGTAGAGAGAGAGAGAGAGAGAGAGAGAGCGAGAGAGAGAGAGGTTTTTCTGAATACCTGGCTTCTGGGAGGGTTCCATCCAAGTTGCCATCCCTTAGCTGTCATCCCAATGGACCCTAGAGACATCCACTCCAACAGCAGTGACCCCAGCAGAAGGGAGGTTCCCTCCGCCCAATCATTCAGCAAAAATCCCAGGGACTACTTCTCATTGGTCTTCATGGGCCTGCGGCCATCCCTGGACCAATCAGGGCTGCCCAGGGAGATGGGCCACATCACTCACTGGCCGAGCTGCAAGGTGGTGGAGTCAGCTCCTCCATATCTTATGAGTGGAGGTAGTTACATACTCACTGGAAACCGTATAGCTGGAACAGTGGAAGGGAGAAAGTATGCCAGCAGGGAAAAGGCGGGATGAAAGAAATCCCATGCAGGGATCTCTGTATACATGCCCCCACCCCAGTCCCCGGTTTGAGGATGCTAAGGCCCAAGGTAATCTAGCCAAGGAGCTGGACCCTGCATCAGAGGAACAGTTTGCGTATGGAAGCTTGGTCAAGTCTGGTATAAAAGGATGAACAGTTATATCGACCATCGCACTTCTACAACCAAATCACAGTTTTTCTCTCCTCCTTTTGTTTAGAAACTTCCAATGCTCCTCAGCCCACACTCTCCCCATCCAACCCAGGAAAATTGCAACTTCTCTGCCTTCCTGAAGCAGGCAGTCCCCATCCAGTTTCACACACTGGATATTGAGAGGAACCACTGGGTTTGTCAGTGACCCAATCAGGACAGGAGTGAGAGTACCAGACCTACAGGGGAAAGCTCAAAGAAAGGGGGGGGGGAGAATGGGTGAAAGAAGAGGAGATTGAGGAGTGGGATGTGGTCCTGAGGAATGAGGACCTTCTGACTGAATTATCACCAAGGACCTCCTGCTGGGAAACATTTTGAAGTAATTATTCACTAGCTGCCTCTTCTTCTCATTATATACATCCCCTTCTGTATGCTTTGCACTCACTGGGACCTCAGAACAGACCTGATACAGAGGAGGAAATAGGCTCAGGGGTTTTGTCACTTGGTCTCAGGTAGGATTAGAACCCAAACCAACCTGGTTCCCAACCCACAGATGGGTTTCCTCAAGATGGATGGGACAGTAAAGGGGGCTCCAGGAGGTCCCCAGTGCTCCTCTAGGCAAGACCATGACATTGGGATTTCCCATGGCTGGGTGGCTCTCTACACTGGGGAGTTTGGCTGGGTTCTGACTTCTTTAAGTAAGAATCTCCTCTTAAGCCCTGGCCAGGTAGTTCAGTGGGTTACAGCACTGATACACCAAGGTTGCAGGTTTGATCCACGGTCAGGGCACAAACAAGAATCAATCAATGAATGCACAAATAAGTGGAATAAATCAATGTCTCTCTCTCTCTCTCTCTCTCAAATCAATAAATTAAAAAAAAAATCTCCCCTAAAAACCTGGAGCTCAGAGTGGACTTTGGGGTTTAAGAACCTATCTCTCCTGGATCTCCTAGGAGTAAAATAGGGGTTGGGGGTTAGGGAAGGAAAGAAGAGCTCAGTGAGAATGGGGATGGGGTCTGAGAGAGGAAAGGGGAGCTCAGTGCTTGCACAGCTCAAAGGGCCAAGGCATGCCAGTGCCTCCGTTTGCTCATCTGTACAGAGGCAATGAAAACACCTGGGTATCCCAAGGGTATGTCGTGCACAGCTGCTGTCTGGAATATCATTAGCGTGCAATTGGAGGGTTTCCAGCATCCCTGTAAGTCCAGCCCTGTCTGGGGATGCTGCCTGGGGCTGAGCCCACCCGGTGAAGGGGCAGCCATTAAGCCCTATAGGGTACAGTTCCTGCCCATGGTAAGTTCCTGAGAGCTGGGGGGTTAGTTGTCATGGGAATGACATTAACAGTCTCTATGGTAACAACTTGGTGGGCAGGGCCCTACCAACAAGGAAAAGCCTAGGGAGACAGGTGTTCTGTTACCTCAGACTCCAGTTTGGTCTCCATGGCAACAGTTGTTTAACTTGGAGGGTGGCAAGGAGCTGGGGTGGGCCTGGGGAAAGGGCAGCACGTTTCCATGGTGAAAGCTGGAGAACTGAATGTTGGTTAACTCTCTGGACAGTGGGGGGAAGGGTGGTCTCCATGGCTGTTGGTCAGGGTGGGGACAATTAAAGTGGAGTTGTAGGTCTCCAGGATGGGGGCTGGTGAGATGCGGAAAGTATGGGGTCCATGGTTACAGCTAAAGGATGGAGGCGCTGTCTCCATGGGTGTGACTGACGAGGGAAGGGTTGTGTGACTGGCAAGAAGAAGGGCTGGTCACCTTAGAGACAATGGGAAGTGGCGTGGCTTGCCTCCACAGCGTGGATCTCATAGGCCCCCGTGTCCTGGGAATGATTGCTTTGGTGACAGCCAGGAGAAAGGAGGTCAGGTGGGGGTGGACTTGCCCTTCCAGAGCGATACCTGAGGGTGGGGCAGCCAGTCATGCGAGCCAGCTGGGGCATTTCAATCTGTCTTAGCAGTAACAAAAGGTGGTCTCTCCTAAAACTGGAGAGATGAGGCAGCGGGGTCGCATGCGCCTCTGGTCCACGGTGACCTGGGGACTTGGTCTCTTACTACAGAAATTTCAGGGGAGTTGAAGGGGAGGTGTCAATGATAGGAGTACCCAATCAACAGGTCACCGTAGGGGAGAAGACAGGAGCCCACATGTGACAATGGGGGCGTGGTCACCTGTCAAATTTGCTGTTTCTAGTTTCTCTACAGGTGATAGGAGGATGGTTCAGTTGCCAGGTGACCATTAAGTCTTCAGTCTCCAGGGAGATGTAGAGGGCGTGGGTCCAGCCTCCAGGTGACCACTGAGATGGTTCTGTGTCCAGGTGGCCTTGGGAGGGGTAGTCTTCAGGAGACCTTGGGGTCTGTTGGCCTCCAGGGGGCATCAGGGACTGTGCTTGGTCTGCTGGAGAAAGTCAGGGGAAGAGGAGAAATCCACTGTCCAAGAAAGGGGAGCTTGGTCAGTGTCCAGGGACTCCAGGAGACTTGTCTCTGGGGGTGTGGTCAGTGTTCAAGGACCACAGTAGCTTGGTCAGCCAGTAGGGCACCACAGGGGGCGTGGTCCGTGTCCAGGGGACAACAGAGGACTCGGCCAGCCCCCAAGGACCCCTCCCCCAGCCCTCCGTGCCCTCCGTGCCTAGACGCGCAGCGGGGTCCAGGC